GCTCCTATGCTATGCAAACGACTTACATCTTATAGTAAGAGGATCGAACAGACTAGCCAACACGCAACACGCACTCCAACTTATAGAAGAGGAGTGCAACAGACTTGGACTCAAGATAAATCCAGCCAAGTCGAAAGCGATGGCCATCTGCACAGACACACCAGACAAGATGCTCTCCATACAAAACACGCCGGTAGTCTGGACCAACGCCCACCAGTGTCTTGGAATCTGGTTTGACCAGAAACTCACCTTCAAGCCGCAACTCGAGTATCTCAGGCACAGGACGAAGAGCAGACACAATATAATGAGGTCGCTCACCAGCAAATCCGCAGGAGCAAACCTTCATGTGCTCAAAGCCTACTACACGGCCGCCATCAGATCGCTGGTAGATTACAGTGCTCCAGCACTCATCGGACTGAGAGAAGACCAAATAGCTAAGCTAGAAGTCATCCAAAACAATGCTCTCAGGACCATGCTCGGAGCACCCATGTGGACCAGAATTTGCAATCTGCAAATGGAAACCGAACTACCACCCCTGGCAGTACGAGTCAAGCAGGTGACAGCCGGTCTCCTCGCCAAAATCTGTAGAGCAGACAAGCCCACAGTTGCCAAGATTCGAATCAGTGCCTCCCTCCACCTCGACCACAGAGTGCGAGGGGCCACCTGGTCGCACGAGGCAAGCGAGGTCATCCGACACCTGCAAGTAGAAACACTCGTCAAGAACAACCAAGACACACGAGACAATGGTTACGCTGTTCCTCCACCATGGAGCCCTCCACCAGCCACACTCAAATTTACCGACCTAGACGATAGTAAAGCCAACCTCCAGAAGGAGGACCTCAAAAAAATAACTCTCGAAGCCATAGCCACCGAGACACCGGCTGGTGCAGCATCATACTTCACAGACGGCTCGGTGGACCCAAAACATCATAGATCCGGAGCGGCCTTCTACACCCAAGGTCAGACCCTCCAATGGAGACTTTCCAATGACTGCTCCACCCTACAAACAGAACTGGTAGCAATCTCAAAGGCCCTACAACACGCTGCAACACAACACAACAAGTCCATCATAATTCACACGGACTCGAAATCGGCCATGCAGGCGCTGCAACACAGTCAACCAAGAGACAACGTCCACATCATCACCTCGATCCTCGCACAGCTACAGGAATTCCAAAGCCAAAACCGACTAGTCGTCTTACACTGGATTCCCAGTCATGTAGGGATCGGAGGAAACGACGTGGCAGACGAAGCAGCCAAGGCAGCTACACGTTCTAGTAGCGTACACATCCAAGTTCCAGCAAGTGTGCAACAGATCAAGAATCACCTCAGAAAGACTAGCAAGCTCCACATCAAAAAGAGCTTCCTTCATGCACTCAACGCTGGTTCCCAATCAGCCAAATGGTACCTGGCGGCCACAAAAGGGGAACCACCTTTCGCTGACAAGAAAACTCCAAGACAAACCCAAGTCAGCCTTCATCGACTACGACTAGGGTACAAGTGCTCCTGGCAGATGATCGGAAATGACGTCATGGATTGCACCTACTGTCAGGAGCCAGCAGCCAACCCACTTGAACACTATCTCCTCGACTGCGAGGTCACACAAAGCCTCCGAAACAGAACTCAAATCTCCCAAGAAACACACACAACACCAGCGGCCACTCTAACCCGAAAGGCCCATACAGACCACATTCACCACCTACTCCGGGTCATCACACGATACCCACCACCCAGATAGCTTAGAAAGCATCCTCTCCCAGCAAGTGCGGACCCCAGTTCGGGGGGCGCGCCACTCCGAAACTGACCACGTCCAAGAGTGGGGGTTGGTGGTAAGCGTCCACTGATCGGGGGTCCGCTCACACTTGCAACCTGCAGTATCCTTCCAATCTGCAGGTGGGACCACCTCCAATCCCAATCCGGTCTGGCTGCTCCTTGGAGCTCCAGCCGGAACCACCAAACGGGCCGCCTATAGGCAAAGGCCCGTGTCGGACTACGGTCCGACAATCTCAACAACAACAACTGTTACGAGTTCGCTCCTGGTTGGATAGTTTGAGTACCATTGTAATGTCCCCTTTGTTTAGCCCTGCCTTCCACTTATACACCTCTATCAGGTCGCCCCTCGCTCTACGTCTCTCAAGGGAGTGCAAATTAAGTTGCTTTAACCTGTCTCTATACTCAAGGTTCCTAATGCCCGGGATTAGTCTTGTCATTCTCCTCTGAATTCTTTCCAAGGATTCTATATCCATTCTGTAATGACCAGAACTGAACTGCGTAATCCAGGTGTGGTCTCACAAGAGCAAGATACAGTTTTAGGATGACCTCGCTAGTCTTGTAACTAACACTCCTTTGTATGAACCCAAGTACTTTATTAGCCTTGTTACGAGCAAAAACACATTGTTTACTTGGCTTAAGGTTCCTACTTATCATTACTCCTAGATCTCTCTCGCAGTCGGATTTCTCTATGGCATCGTTGTTCATCTGGTATCTGGTTTCCCTGTTTACATCTCCTATACTGAGTACTTTACATTTGTCGACGTTGAATTTCATCTGCCATTTTTCAGACCATTCGAAAAATTTGTTTAGATCTTCCTGTAGTTTTGCCGAGTCCTCGTCAGATTTGATAACACGTCCTATTTTAGTGTCATCAGCAAATTTACTTATGTTGCTGTCAATGCCGATATCTATGTCGTTTATGTATATAATAAATAATAATGGTCCAAGTACTGAGCCTTGGGGAACTCCACTTGTGACGTTGCTCCAATGGGACTTAGTGCCGTTAATGCTCACTCGCTGTTTCCTGTCCTGTAACCACGCCCTAATCCATTTAAGGATGTCACCTTTGATGCCATGAGCTTCTACCTTTCTAATTAGTCTTTCGTGGGGGACTCTGTCGAAGGCTTTGCTAAAGTCGAGATATACCACATCATAATTGTGCCCCTCGTCCACCGATTCGAAAACTGATGAAAAGAAGCACGCTAAATTACTGTACATTAGTCACATGATCATTTCAAGCCCATTTCCTGGCCATGGTCATCCCTAGTTCTTCCACAACATTTAATATAGACCTCAGTGACGAAAACTTACTTTTTCCAGACATGATATAGAGAACAGTGATGAAAACTTCCATGTTGGAGTTATCGGCCTTTTGCATCATTTTGGCACCCAGCAAGTAAATACACACGATGATACTTGAGAGCAGTAATTTATTTTAACCTAAAAATAAGGTATGCTAGTGTATATCAACATTGTATATGGCCACAAGTCCCGTATTTCTGCTGGTAACAATACATAGACCACAGCTGGCTACCTCCGGGCTCCTGCTCGGCGGCTCGAGCCAACCTGTGACGTCACAACCAATCACAGAGCTTTTCGTAGTCGAATGACATTTTAGCTTTGTTAACCTTATTTTTTACGCTTTTTGGTCCAATTTATTTTAAAATATCATTACCATAGTGAATTTAAACGTTTTCTTTACCCATTGACCTGCTATTTTACGAAAAAATTCCTACTGACAACTCGTCTATTACATGACCTCACACAAAGTACCCACAGAGGGCGTCCTCACTTTACCAGGTGACCTGACAACGATAGCTTCACAAAAATGACAGTTGAGGATGACCTGATCACGAGATCTGAGGTTGACGAGTTATTTAATGAGCAAAGGCAGAACATGCCATACAGAAAACTCCGATCAAATAACAAAGACCCAAATAGATAAAAAAAAATTAAAGAATATAATAGTCATGGTAAGGGTTAAAAAAAAAGTGATCACTGCATTCAATAGTGCAAGGGTCTCACTTGGCATAGGTGTTCCTTGGGGCAAAAGGAAAACAATTATCCAAAGAGACACTTATTCCCTATGCATAGAACTCACTAGTTACCATAAATTATGCTAATTAGCACCGAAAAGAAGGCAATTTCTAACTTTTAATACCATTTCACCTAGACATATGTGTGATTAGTTAAACCTGGCTAATATTAGGGCCAGGTATTTATTTTTGGGGTTATTTTGATAATTGGCGGCCATTTTGACCCTCAAATCCAAGATAGCCACTGCCCCCGGTCTTGATTTTTTTTTCTTTCTTAACGGGGAAGAACCCACCCGGGCACAGGTCATCGACCCACAACGGGGCCTAGGTGAAGAAAAAATACTAGTGAAAATAAATTAAAAATATAAAAAAAGACCATATTAATTTACACCGCGAAGATGCCGGAAAACCAGCTTTTTAAAGTAAGACAGATTGTAAGAGTATGGAAATACAGAAGAAGGCAGAGCATTTTACAGTTTGGCTGTGTGAGGAATGAAGGATGTACTGTAACGGGTTATCCTAGTGTGACCGACAGCCACAGAGAAACTGTGGGTACCACGTGCAAGACGGTACACAAGATGCCAAATCCGCCGAACATTGCCCGTTAAAGTACCTATATAAGAGAAAGAGTGAAGCAACATTGCGGCGAAGAGAAAGGGAAGAGAGATTATCAACTAAAGGAGGAGAGTCAGTAAGACGAAATTTAGGCATACCTTACAACTTTTGAACCGTTTGAGCTACAAACTTGTGTGATATAACAATTTATATTATTTTGGGTATGAGAAAGCAATTTCTGGCCCTGCATGTGTGATAGGAGGTCATTTAAAGGTGATTCCAAGATAGTTGTCATTATCTATATTATAGAAAAACTTGATGCATTAAACATATGCTGATGGCATTTAAACTCATGTAATGCACGTTTTCTGAGGTCACAGCCAAGACAAAAACACCACATTAACAAGCATAATTGGTCACTTTTATTTGAGAGTGCACACAATGCAGATTTCAAAACAATCATAAGTACATACAGTTCTTGCTGTTCTGACCTCATTAGTCCACATGTGTGAACAGCCACTCTTACATCCACAGAGTGCTGTACAGGGCTGCTCATTCATGCAGCATGTAGAATCACTGGAGCAGCCACAGATGGCAAGCTCAGCTGACGCAGCCGGTGATACGATACACAGATACCTCGTTCAGCCAGCATGTCAACAAGACTCTCCTTGCCTGCCTTCATATGCACCTTCATAGCCAACATCAGAGACAGTAGAGTCTCTCGCTCACGCCGATGACGAAGCACACTCTGGGGATTCGGTGACGTTTTCCCCACAGAGTTGTGCATGATGGTCTGGCGAGTGATAACACGACCTTCGTTGATGAAGTAGGAGGGATATCGACATCAATACAAGGGCCTTCTAATAGGATATGTAGGAAAGATTTCAGTGTAAGAACAACGAAGTCAGCGTCTGAGGTGCTTGAGAAAGAGCCTGAAAACACCTGCTTTCTCTCAAGGATATCTCGTCACAGAATCTTGGCTGTCTGTGCCCAAATTATCTTGTCTGTTGATGTGGTGTCCTTTATCTCCTCAACTACTTGACTGAGATCTTCATTAAACACCAGCTTCCAGCAGCCAGATGACTTTTCTATCGCCTTAATGTCAGGGAGCATGCTGACAATATCTTGGGGAAATCGAGTTGTATGACCATGATTATGGGGGCAACCAAGAGATATGAGACGCTTATCATAAAGTGCTGTCAATTTTGCCATACTCAGAACAGTACCAGATCCACTGTGGTCCTCAATGTAATCAAGAAGCTCACTGAAAGCATGATATTTTATTACTTGGACAGCATAGCCTTCATTTGAATCACGATCAACTGTATCTGACTTTCTATAACTCTACTCAGGCAAACACGGTGGCACACAGCATCTATCGCAATCATGTCTCCTTTAGACAATTTTGCCTGAAGTTTCACATCACAGATTTTCCTTGCAGTATCATTGAATCTCTGGTTTAGGCCAAGAGTGGAAGCTTTTCCCAAGTCCTTCTTGTCTCCAGACTCTTCACAAAAAAGCATTTTGTTGCAGAAGAGTCCTTGCCCTCAGTTGATGTAACCTGGGTCTCCCGTGTGACACAATCTCTGCCAGAGCTCATCTGCCGTGTTTTCATTGGGCTTCCTTGGTGCTTACTTCATCTCTCTACCTTACTCTTGACCCGCTCCACCTTCTGTTTGCTGACGGCACTTCTGCAATTTTTGTGGCACAGTGCATTGTTAGTTTTCATAAGTTCTACTATAACACTGGTCAACATAAAAAAAATTCTCATGGTTCTGGATCAAAACAGTCTGATTCTAGTGTAATTGTATGTGCTGAACTCAATTATGACATTCGTATAGCTGTATCAGGCTCAGTTTTCCAGAACCAGCATATCTATATATTTAGTGTACCATGCTATTCATACAGTAATTTATATGCTCATTGGCTCCACTTATGCAATTATTTTGTCCTGATTTGTGCTTTTTTGTTTGTTTCAGTTTGCTGATTCATGATATTGCATATCTACACCTGCATGATTTGTAATTACTCTGAAATTAACAAAACATGGAACGTCGCAAGTGTGTGAACGGTGCTGACAGTTTTTGCTACATATGTGGTGCCTTCACTCCTGGTAGCCTCAAGAAACCAATCACAAAAGCTGTTCGACTGAACTACAAAAGTTACTTCAAATGTCATTTGGGTGACCAAGACAAGAAATGGGCACCTCATGTAGCCTGTAAGTCTTGTGTTAACCACCAGAGCGAGTGGATGTGTGGTAAACGAAGTTCAGGAATGCCGTTTGCTGTACCAATGATATGGCGTAAACCTAAAGACCACAGTAGTGACTGCTACTTCTGTCTCACAAATATTAAGGGAATAAAAATCAAGACACGAGGCAAGGTACAGTACCCCAATATTGCTTCTGCAATCCGACCAGTACCGCACAGTGCTGAACTTCCAGTCCCAAATCCACCGATTGAACAAGAATTGAGTGATTCCGATTCTACCTCTACCTCAATGGAAAACGACTACCAGGATGACTCTGAAAATACCAGGCCTAAACTATTTACTCAAGAAGCGCTTCATGATCTCATCAGGGACGTAAACTTGTCAAAAGAAAAGGCTGAAGTTTTGGGATCCAGACTAAAGCAGCGTAACCTGCTAGAAGATGGAGTGCATATCACTACAGCGCGTTACCGACTATTGCTGGACACTGCAACGAGAAGAGAGCAAGCTGTACAAGAGAAAGAGTAAAGTTCAGAAGCACTTTTAGAACTTCATATTTTGTCATTATAAAGGATTTGAACTTATGTTTTTTGGTACAATTTTTTATGAGCTTATCTGTGATAGGTTTAAAATTGTATCTTGCATGACGCGATAATGTTACTATATTTACTATTTTTTTTATTCTTTAAGAAAGTAGGTCTGATGGTAGAATGAAACATCCAATTAATATTCATTAATATGGAATTAGTCATGAAAGCAGAGTCACATGAGATAATCTCATCTTTTGCACGACACGTGATGGAATATTAAATATTTGTACCTATTGATTTTTTTATAAAACCTGGTCTGATAGAACAGAACAAATATCAGATTCGAATTCAGCAATATGAAATTAGTTGTGTGAGCATGATCTCATATGTGAACCATTTTGGCTGTTAACCAGTGTAATGATTGCACCATCACCCCGCCACCAATGTCATCTAGTACTACGAAGCTGGGTAACTCATCTAACTGTTCAGAAGTTCTTGGTAACATGCTTCTAGTTTCTTATGCCAAGTGGATTTCTTTGCACTATGAAATGCAGTGTTCACTCCCCTAGCAAGTCGACTAATATTGTTGGACAAAGGAAGGCTATAGGTAGGAGAATACTTCGTGGTGAATTTTACCTTCGAAATTATTATAAAATATTGGCCAGTAGGGTTAAGACCATGATAAGAAAAGCAAAGAGGAATAGTGAATTAGAGGTAGCAAGGGAAGCGAAGTCAAACAACAAGGGATTCCTCCAAAAAACACGAGACAAGATTGGATCAATACAGTCAGATACCGGCGAGCTAACGGATAACGATGGAGAAATGAGCCATAATCTAAACATATAGTTTTCAACAGTTTTCACCACCGAAAATTTAAATATGATACTCGAGGCACCGACTATATCGAGAGATAGTGAAGTAAATAGATTAAGCGAGATAGTAGTGACCAGTAATGATGTTAATAAGCGAGTAGACAAGCTAAAGCCTAATAAGTCACCAGGTACCGATGAGATATTTGCCAGATTATTAAAGGAATGTAAGGAAGAGCTTAGTAAGCCCTTAGCATATTTGTTTAACATGTCATTAAAAACGGGTGTATTACCAGAATCCTAAAGGATAGCGAATGTGATACAGATTTTCAAGAAGGGAGATAGATTACTATCCTCTAACTATCATCCAATCAGTTTAACATCAATTGTAGGCAAATTGTTGGAAGCAATAATTTCAAACTCTATTTGAAATCACCTAGGGAAACATTAGTTGATCAATGATTCCCAACATGGCTTAACGAGTGGGCGTTCATCTATTAAAATTTTTTCAACTGTTTTCGAATCAGTGGATGACGAGCACGATTATAATGTGGTATTCCTCGACTTTAGCAAAGTATCTGACAGAGTCCCTCACGAAAGACTCATGGAGACACATGGAATTGGAGGAATTATTCTGAAATGGATTAGGACGTGGTTACACGGCAGGAAACAGCGAGTAAGCATTAACGGCACTAAATCCGATTGGGGTAACGTCACTAGTGGAGTACCCCAAGGCCATCACAGCTACATTATTAAATTTGTGTAATTAAATCTGACGAGGACTCCGCAAAACTGCCGGAAGATCTAAGTAAATTTTTCTCTTGGTCTGAAAAATGGCAGACGGTATTTAATGTGGACAACTGTAAAGTACGTGACTAGGAGATGTAAACAGAGAAACCAGAAATCAAAGGAACAGCGTTGTTATAGAGAAAACCGACTGTGAGAAAGATTTAGGTGTAATGATAAGTAGGAATCACTAACCAAGTAAACAATGTGTATTTGCTCGAAACAAGGCGAACAAAGTATTTGTGTCCATACAAAAGAGTGTTAGTTACAAGACTAGCGAGGTTATCATAAAACTATATGTTGGTCTTGTTAGACCTCACTTGGATGACGCAGTTCGGTTCTGATCACCGTACTACAGAATGGATATAGAATCCCTAAAAAGAATTCATAGGAGAATTACAAGATTAATCCCGGGTATTATGAAGCTTGAGTACAGATACAGGTTAAAGCATCTTAATTTGCACTCCCTCGTGAGACATAAAGTGAGGGGGTGTATGATCTAGGTGTATAAATGGAAGTCAGGGCTAAACAAAGGTGATATAACACAGGTACTCAAACTATCCAACCAGGAGCAAACTCGTAGCAATGGTTTTAAATTTGAAAAAAATATAGATTTCGGCGTGAGATACGTAAATATTGGTTTGGAAATATAGTAGTGGAGGTTTGGGTGCTTCAGCAGAAAACTGAGATAGTTTTTCCACTTTAAGTGGAGGTGAAGACTGTCTGAGTCAGGTGCCAGCCGGACAAACTTTTTTAAGTCATCGAGGATCTCATTTGGGGCTTGCAACTCTGTGCTGCATGATGCCAAAAGGTCACGTTCCTTCTTAAAACTTTGGACGCGATCTGCCATCAGTTTCTTGCTGGTGACATAGAAGCCAGAGTTATGATCGCAGCCGGTGAGGACATGAGGTGGAATGATGCTGACCGTCATTTCCTCATGGCATAGACTTCTAGAGGTGATGGATTGTATCTTTCTCTTAAGACATAATACTCCTGATATTTGTTTGGCAACAAAAGCTGTCTGCACTTAGTTATCGGTGTCTTCTGTATCAAGAATGACAGCTGAGCGGAGGACACTATATATGAAAAACACTGCAGTGTCAGCCTATGCATGGGAACGGGCGAACTGCGGTGCAGGTTGGCCGGTACTGAGTTTCATCACACTGGGAGAGTTCAACAGCAGATATGTCTGCAGTGCTCTGGAATCCAGCCTGCAGAAATGCCTGCAAATGGATCTTATCTCTGCTTTACCCATAACAATTTGGAAGTCTTTGATTCTTTGATTGCAGGACACTTATCTTCTGATTTCATGTACATGTTACTGATCGATGCATTCTTTTGACGCAGCATGCGTTCACTGTCTTTGATTGTCCATCTATGATCGTATGGGTCATTCACACAAATGATCCGCTATACACTTTTGTGCCTTGTCAGTACTGTGCGCACCACCTTCT